GCAGGAAATTGTCCAAAATTTTTGTTGTCATTTATTAAACAAATTTCAAAGGTGATATCAAGACATGTTCTTCAAAATCTTTTGTTGAGAGTTGGAAAATTAATTTGAGTAAATAAGTTGGAGTTTTATAGACGATTTTCTTCTACTTTTTCTGGGGATGGGGAGTCAAGGGGTGGGGAGAAGAGGAACGTTTGGGTCTGTATACAAATTTAGATCTGAAAATGAATTTATATCTGGAGATTGACTTAAATTTATGCCTACATCTCAACTGAATTTAAAAAATTTATGAAAAGGGAGACATATGCCACCAGATTCTAGACTAAGGCATACGTAGCGCGCCTCATACGCTAGTGGGAGATAAAAAAAGGGCATTTCAATCTTCAACATTGGAATATTTTTATTTATAAAATTTCATAAAATAACATTTCGACAACATGATCAGGCATCCATGCACTCATTCTGTATTCACAATACAATTTTGATCCCTACTAACGGTATAAATTTGTTTATTACACGAAATAATTTTGTAATTATGCTCCTTACATATGACGTTTCAGAGCAAATTGTATTTATCGCGAATGCTCAATCCATTGTAGCGTAAAGATAATCAATCTATAGGGAAATCAGGAAAATTTTTCTGGGTACCAAAGGCCTTTTCGATTTCTTTTCGTGATATCTAGGGTTCACGGTCTCGGAGTGGAAAGTAGCGTCCGAATTTTGACAAAATTTGTCTCGTCTCGGTCTCGAACTAGCTCAAAATTGTTGGTCTCGCTTTTGTCTTGTCTCGGTTTCGTGAGTATAAACATTGAAGAGTAGTGAAACGAGCATAAATCGAGCCAACTAATGAGAAGGCTTGCCCCTTTTGTCAAACGTTCCGAGAATGTTCGTGGGCAAATTGAATGACAGACGCAAGCAGAACAATCGCCAGGATCAAACGTAAGAGCTTTGTGATCATTTCACTCAATTCATAATCGCTCGACTTACGTGATTGTCTTGCCTGCGTATTCTGGTTGACCCCTATAGTTGTTGGGACCTTATGATTGTTTTGCTTGTTTCCGTGTTTGAACCTTGCGAATTATGGTCCTCGCGACGTTTAACCCTTTCAAGATATAACCCTGGCGACGTTCGACCCTTGCCAGGTACGGCCCTTGTAGCGTTTGACCCTTCCCAGGTATGACTCTTGTTGCGTTTGACCCTCGTGAGATCCTTATTACCACGCCGACACTAGTCAGAAGTCCCGTTCTAGAGGTAGTCTTCTCTCGGTCTCGATTACTCTTGGACGGTATCGTCTCGGTCTCGTCTTGAAAACCCGAGACTAGTCGTATGCAGCCCTGAAAATATTCCTAAAAATCCGCTTCACTTGCGAAAATTCATTCTATAAGGAATTTTGTCATAAATAAGTTAATTTCATTCAAGATAACAATTCCTTAAAACCTCCACAATTGATTCTACTTACTTTCTCAATACTGCACCACTCAATAGGGAACTGGCATGGGAACTTTCCCCGTGGTATTTTCCGTTTTCAATTAAATTTTTCTAAAACGGAAGCTCACCTCGGAAAAATTTGATTTTCTGGGGTGAGGTTTCCTTTAATGAAATCCCGATCTTGGGATAAAATATGAAAATTGAAAAAAGTCATGCAAGTTCCCTATTAGCTAAATTTGACACTCATCATACTGTTGAAAAATCTCGGCACAATTAATAAGTACAAACGAAGTCACCCCTCCCATAGCAGAACCCCCCTGCATGACCCCACCAATTGACTGAAGATATTCCTCTCCGACATTCTCCTTAACAACAGTTGCAATGGCCACCTTCATGTACGCAATAATCCCTGCAATCACCACCCATGCCGTAATTACCACAATCATTCCTAATTTCGTTCCACGAAGGGGAGGATTCGGCGACAACACGGCGAGGTACGTAACGAAACCAGCTAATCCAATCGACACACCCGCAAACACATCAATAATTCTTAGAACACTCTTCCACTCTGTCCACGCGTAAACAATGCACGCCAGCGGATTAGAAATATGAGCAAGTGTCACTGCAAGATGATATGCGAACCTTCCGTAAGGTAAACATGAGTAAGTCTGAATAGCCGGAAGGAATCTGTTCCCCAAGAAACACACAAAATCCACTAACACGTGTAAATAAATAATCTTTAGCCTCGTCAACTCCTCATCATCCTCATCATGACTCTGCATCATCGTTGAATAATTCTTATCGTTAAGATCAAATTCCATTATCTCTCTCTCATTACGGAAATAATCCTGTAGATGGAGTAGACAAAACCCGCATAAAGAGAATAACAAAATGATGAAAATTATTGCAAAATAAATTCTGGGGGAGAAGAGAGATTCAAAGTCGCACTTTCCGGTTCCTGTTCCTTGAATTAATGCGACTGTGCTTGGTATAACCCCGCTGAGTCCTTCCCCGATGAAGTAGCACGCGAGGAATTTCACGCTGAGTTTCTTTAGGTAAGGTAGGAAGAGAACGGAGCTTGTGCAGCCGACGATCGCTGTGAAGAAGCTGCAGATGAAAAAGGGAAGACTGTACTCCTTTCCTCCAATGCTTGCGGTGGTGTCGTGGAAGGATGTCAAAAGACCCATGGCAATTATCCCCAGAAAGAAGATGTTGACAATGCAGATGGCGTCGTTCATGATGAAGAGTTTCTTTGATATTGTGTAGAGGATGGGTCCGATGTTAGCGGATTGAATCATGACCACTAGGTAGACCGCAAGGGTCCATTTCTCGGGGGCTGAAATGACCAGCAGGGGCAGCTGGACATATACTCCGTTTGTTCCGAGCCATGCCGATATTCAAAAAATGGCGACCAGGGTGTGAGTCGCGGAGGAATGAGAAAGGAACCTCTTCCACGGTGACTCCACTTCTTCAATCATTGTTTGAGTTATTATTCCATTTCTCAAGTTTTTTCTATGGTTTCGGATAATCCCTGAGTTATTTCTTTCCCGTGATGATCGTGATCTTTTCATAACACTAGTGATGTGCGTTTTCTCTTCAGAATGTTTCAAGTATTCTTGTCAGGTTTTGTGATAGTTTAAGTAGACATTGCAGTTTGAAATACGTCTAAGAGACTGAACTATCATGATAGTAAAATGGGATTATTATAATTTTGTATGTACGGCCTCTTAGATAAGATAAAATCTGCTATCACAGACATCTGTTTTCAGTGGTTATAAACATGAATGCATTTGTGTTCTATTTTTCACTCCAGTTTCTTTTTGTTGAGATTGTTGAATGGCTTGAAAACGGGAAAATGTTCTCTTAAGGCTAAATTGGAAGAATATATCATTGGTAAACCGAGTTGATTCCCACAAATGCTTCAAAGTCTATCAATTGTTGTGTATACCCGTGCCATCACTGAACTGTTCGAGAGTAATAGTGGATCTTTTCAGTGAAATGAAATTCGGGATTTTAGTTATTTTGTTACTAGACGGTTTCAACATAATAAGAATAACAAACATAGGAAAATATGAAACAATTTTGCATACTCTGTAACAATATTAACAACTAAAAAACTTTTGCTATGATTTAATTGCAAAGTTTTTCACTAGGTAGTAGACTAACAAAAATAATTTCAAGATTGAAATTAAATTAATCGAAAAATAATAAAATGTTCAAGCATGACGAATTAAAAAAAAAATTGACCTCATGTTGTTGTCTACACACATTGAGTTCAATAGAGAATTCTGCAATTTTGAATAATAGCTGGAATTGAATGATCTGCAGAAATTTAATTTAATTGAGACATTGAGTCTTAAGACTTGAATGTCTGGGGGAAGTGCCATGAACATCACTTTATTGGAGGATCAGTTTTGTCACTTTTATCGGATTTTCTATTCGCTTTGAGCCTTCTTCATCGATACACTGAGAAAAAAATATTCGCTTTGAGCCTTCTTCATCGATACACTGAGAAAAAAATATTTTCTCGAATAAGTCTTGAAATCTAGTATTGACAAATTCGAAAACTGCCCCGAGACGGTAAATTTTTGTCGCAAAACTGATTTAGTGGTTTCAAAAAATTTGACGATGCTAATAACTGTACAGAGAGAAAAATGAAATAAAAATTGCCAGAAAAAAACGTAAAAAATACCTTTCGAAACGTAATCCGCGAGCGAAATAAAATTCAACAAAAAATGTGAGTTGGAACTGAAATTATACAAATCGCCACGTAAATTCTACGATTTGTTCCGTAAAAATTAACCATCCGTCTGATGATTCACCGCTGTGGGGCCAAGTCGTTCCGGAATTTTTCCCCAACGATTGAGAAATTTTGCGGAACGGAACATAAAAATAACTCACCAGCTTCATAAAACTTGTTGAACGTTCAAGAATTTTTGAATTTGCAGCTATAATAAGTCGGGTAGTTTCTGTACGATTTTACTTCTTCGGAAAAAAATTACGTGACAATTTCTTACTTTGTTCGGTGATGAACTTGAGAATTCACTGAACGTTTCAGATTTTTTCTCTTCCATTCCTATAAAAATTTCCGTAAAACAATTCTTCATTGTGGATTAGGTGAATTGTTCCCTAATTTTTACTGAATATTCCTCTCTGTGGCTCCTCTTAATGTCCACGTGAATTCCTTATCTCTTATTTTGTCTTTATCCTCCGTAGTTCCGAGAAAGTGGGCGCATAGTGGGGGTAGGGAACCCGAGTGGAAATTCTGTTCAGGTCTCGATCAGAAACTGATCAAGTCCGATCCGAAATTCTGATCAGGCATGTTACGCCTCCACCTTATGTTTTTCCACTAGGGTTTCTCCATCTACCATCATTAGGCATTAATTAAATTTAATTTTTTTGAGAGAAAAAATTAGTAACTTCCTGGCCGGGAATCGAACCCGGGACTTCCCAATGTCGCATCGGGTGCTCTTACCATCTGAGCTACCAGAACACTTACGAATTTCACTCTCAAATTGACTCATACCCGAGTGGAAATTCTGTTCAGGTCTCGATCAGAAACTAATCAAGTCCGATCCGAAATTCTGATCAGGCATGTTACGCCTCCACCTTATGTTTTTCCACTAGGGAACTACAGTCGCATTCTCGCAATCTAAAGTCGTACTAGAGAAATTGTAGCCTTCGGTTCCTATTCCCCCACCATTGTTATACATGGAACTCAAAGACTAGAATCTCGCCAATACGCCTGTACTTTTCCTACGGGCCAACAAGCGCGAATATATCGAGAGTCTACTGTACTTTCAATCAGCAAGCTAAAAAAAATCTGCTAGTGAATTATTTTTTTATAACAGTTAAAATTTTCTCCTGATTTCTCCCTAATCCACCATTATTCCGACACTGTATCGACCATGAAAATGAAGGATTACCATCATTACATCCAAATTCATGATCGATACTCAAACTTTCACCCCATCAATGTTTAATCAACGCATCACAAGGCGAGTACGACTTGAACACCCCGACGAAGTTAACTAATCCGAAAGTGATAATAGCCCCAGTGAGTGACCCAACCTGCGTAGCAACTCCAATGTAATACAATCCCCTGCCAGGATCAGGCCTAAAGATAGTGGTAATCGCCATCTTGACGAACCCAATCAATCCGTTGATAAATATCCACAGCAGAATAATCAACAACTCTCCACCCCAGGATCCTTGAAGAGGAGGTGAGGGTGACTGAACAGCGATATACAGCACAACTGCGGAGAGAAGCAGGATCCCTCCAGTAAGTGTCGTTAAAGTCTTCAGAGACAAGGGATCCTTTTGAATGAAGCCGATGGTCATAGACAATGGTGTTGCCATGGAGGCCAGTGTTACCGTCAGATGGTAAGCGACATTGCCGTAAGGCAGACAGGAATAGGATTGGATGCTGGGGAGAGTGCTGTGCCCCAAGAAGCAGATAATCCCCATGATAGTCAGAAGATAACAGTACGTTCTCCGGGGCATCGCCCAGCCGTTAGTCGTTTTATAGCTAGGAGGTGCGTTGGTGTCTGTTGGCAGTGTCTCCGCACTACCTGGAGGCTTGACCAATTCCCCACGTGCTGTCGGCAGCTTGTTGAGTCCAATGAAGGATATGAGACTTGTTGCCAACATTGTCCCCACGAAGACGAAGAAGACCTCGAGGGAGAATCTCGGCTCTGGGTAGAATGGCTCGAAGGTGTGGGTGGGAGAGTCTGGTTTTGTTGTATTCCGACACTCCGGGTTGCCACCCACGCCCTGGATCAAGGCCACTGTGCTGGGGATAAAGCCACTCAAACCCTCCCCTACCAGATAGGAGACCAGGTAGATTTCCCGGTAGTTCCGCATGTACGGCATGAAGAGGACTGACGATGTGCAGCCAACTACTGCGGTGAGGAACATCAGACCCAGGAGGGCCGTTGAGTGCTCAGAGTTGAAGATTATTGAGGTCTGCTTGTAGGTTAGCGACATCAGGTAGATGGCAAGCGTCGCTGTGCCCAGAAGACCGTAGATTATGTAGTGGTCTCTGGTCCATGATGAATATCTGGAATTGTGATTAGGGTATTAATTTAGTTGGAAAATCATAGATTGTTCCGAGTAAAAATTCAAATCGGTTCATGTCAGAGATTGATCCGATTTAAATTTTTTTGAACTCCTTTGCGATCAGTATCGGATTAGGGATGAAATGTATGTTTTGATCCGAGATGGATGTAAATTCTGTAGCAAAGAGGTAACACGGTTCAAGGCTATTTTCTTTTAAATAATATTTTCATTCAAAACGACTTCCAAGGTGATCACAATAATTTTTTTTCTTTTTCTCTCACTCCCAATTATTACAAGTAATAAAAAATTAGTCTCCCTTCGATCAAATTGTTCTCGTTTCTTTAATGATGATTAACTATAAACAAATCGGAAAGAGGCATAGTGGGGCCAAAGAAAAATTTATGATTGCAAGTCATGTTTTTTCTACTCCTTACTACTCCTCATGAACCGTCGCATATCCAATCCCTTCCAATTTAGTCTCTATATTTGAGGCGTATCCCAATTTTCTATAGAGACATTTGCAATTGAAATAACGGAAAATTGATTGCAGGTTAATTTTCCATTGTTCTCGATTTATAATGGTGCAGCCACAATTCACAAAGATTAAAGAATACTGCAGAGGCAAAGCGGAACGTTTTGCGACCTTCTCCAAACCACACATCTTCATTTATAAACAAAAATCACCCAAAAGATAATACCTTATTCTCGGATTTGTAAGGTCTTAAAATAAGATGTACAAAAGTCTTAATATGAAGCTTGGAATTCCTAAATTCCTCAATTTAAGTCTTCTGAAAGTCTCAAGTTGAGACATTGGAAGGTCTTAATTTGAAACCGTCAAAGTCTCAAGTTGAGACGTTTGAAGATTTCAATTTGAGACTTGACGGTTTTAATTTGAGACTTTCGAAGGTTTCCTGTTATTTTGATCCTTTCATAGACTCAAGTTAATACTAAATACCAAATGAACGTTCGCCACTCCTTCCTAGGAAGTTTGTTGTTTTTGAACGGTTTGATGGGAATATAATATTCAAATAATCGAAATCCCAAACAGAAAAAACGAATCTTTAGGAACCATTTCTGTTTATGTAAAGCCTCCTGACATGTTCCTGCAATTGCACATACGCAAAATCTCACACAAACAAAATATACGAAAAAATCGAAACTGAGAAGAAAATCGAGAGCAAAATACAGAACACAGAGAGAGTTCAAATAAGCGAATAAAGTCACCTCTATAGATATCGACATGGGCAGTGCACTCGTCGGCGGCTTTACCGCGGTGCTTTTGGCTGCGCAACTTTCCATCGCGTGTATCTCTTTAGTTAATTGATTCATGAAAATTTCGTAAAAGATAGAAGTTATTTTAAACAATTGTAGAAACATTTCAAACTTTTCGTGTATCAACAATAGTTCATGAGATATAGCGGTTTAAACAATTATAATTATTAATAACACTTGAAGCGACAATTTTTCCAACTGGTAACCAAGAAATTCGGAATCAGCGACTCGAAGAACATAAAATTCAATCGTTGTCATGCGTTGTCATGCATGCCCTTTCATGTACACAGGAGTGTAGTAGGCGTAAGGACTAATTGTGACCATTTACGCCAACCTAATGAAGAAAATTATTTGCATACATGAGTTTAAAACCTAAATTGTTCATTTAAAACTTTTTTCCTCTGACGTCAACTTATCGAGATATTTTTCTCTGAATTTTATTCGAATACATCTATTTCTGTCACTGATACTCCAACAAAAATCCAATCCATGTGAAGAATATTTATAATGAGTATTAATAAAAGTGCAGAATATTTTTTAGAATTTCTGGAGACCTTGAAGAGAAAAAAATAGGCTGTTGGATTGAGGGAGTATTTGTCATATGAGATCCATCTGAAATTGTTATGATGTATGAAGAACTCAACGTTTAATCAGATAAGCGGTCAATTAAGAAAAAAAACGGAAAAACTCGCAGACAATTGGTTCATGGAATTCTCGCTTTATATCTGTACAAAAATGAAATAAACAGGCAATAATTGATAAAAATAAGTATAGGCTCTAGCAAGAAAACGCCCAATTGAACCTACCAATCACAGAAAAGGTTCAATTAATATCGATTAAAAGGTTAGATCGATTGTCAAAGGCAAGCAGATGTGTTTCTGGAATAATTTTTTGTTTGCGTCTGGTTAATTTAAATTCACTTGAATTAATACAGGTATTGTGCACTCTCTAAATGCGTTTTGCCATGAATCTGTTTCTTCGTAAGACAATAATATAATTAATTGTTAAACGTCAGCACAACTTCGATCCTGTTCCATTCTACAGAATGGAAAATTTTTTTTCTCATCAGTACTCCCAACAATAAAAGAACGTTAATAAAAAGAAAATTTAATAAAACAAAATTTTTTTGCTTGAATTGCGTCAAACAGTCGTTTTTCGGCTGTTTCATTTTGTCCCACTCTCCTCTATAAAAATATAATGAAATGAAATGTTTCCTGGCAACGTTACGTACAACGAAAAATAATTGATTGAGTCCTTACTTAATGAACAACGTATAAAGTATAGGCCCCAAATTAGCGAATTGCACCAGCATAACCATATGTGCAGGTAGACTCCACTTCTCCGGCGCGGTATTAACTAATAATGGCAGTTGTACATAAATTCCATTGACCCCAATCCAGGCGCCAATTCCAAACATCACTGCCAGCAAGTCCACCAGCAATTTCCGATTGCTCAGACGTTGAACCAATATGTTACTCATCTTGACGTCAATTGTCTAAATTGTTCCTCTGTAAAATTCAATAGTTTCCTAGGCAATTGGAGCACCGAGCTCAATCATCCAGCACTCGTGTCTCCAATTTTCTTCACAAAATTAATCTTTAAATATTGAAGACACTTAATAAATTAAATATTTGGTAAATGTTTTTGTTTCCTGACCTCAAGTCCATGGCCACAATTTTCGAGGGCAGAATTTATGAAATTCTAACCTTAAGCATTTTATCCTCAACTTATTTCCAGGCTAATCACTTTAAATCGGTTGTTGAGGCTTTTCATTGGTGTATTTGGAATGTTTTCGTGCTCCTTACATTTATTTTCGATTTGTTTTTTCCTGATGAAGTTACATCAGAACTTTGGTGTGACACGTTTAAATTCTTTGGTTCATTACCCAATCACTATTTTACATTCATTTTAATTGTTGTTTTAAGTACTTCAAGTGTTCACTTTTTAAGTTAATTGTCACTCGTCTGTTCCCTTTATATTTTATGATGAATATTGTCAATTATTGGAACCGCACTTTGCCCTCAAATGTTAGGACATTGCTGCCACATTGGTGAGTGTTGCTGAGGAATTCGCTGGCAGCGATGGTAATCGATCGCTTCGACGGACTGACGGTAACCACTCGACTGCGGGACACTCCAGGGAATATATACCGGGCAGGTCTGCAAGTACAGTCTTCGAAAATAATGAGTCCGGCGTGTCATACGAATGATTGAGTAGGACGGTTTGGAATTGAATTATAAATGTTTTTCTGGCATTGTTCGGTCTCCAGACCGACACCTTGTTTCCTTTTAATGGGAAAAATTCTTATTTTCATATGTTCAAATATACTATTCGTATCGTAATAGTTAACTGTAATATTGTTGCTCAATTAACTGATAATTTAGACTTTTCTTTAATTAATTTGTCATAATTCGAAACATTATTTGGGCCGTAAAAGAACAGTTATTTTTTTGTGGGAGTAAATTTAAGGTGTTTGTGAATTAGTGATCTTTATTTAAAACCCTTAAACCACAGTTTTCCCAGTTATACTGAGTCGGTTTACATTCCCGTATCAGTCGTTGGAGATTCATTGGCGAACATCAGCATACGTGGGACTTGCAACCCCAAGTAAAGGGGCCTTCCATAACTTTTAGGACTACTGCGTCAATGATACCCAAGAGGTATAATGGGATATTGTAGTTAATGAGAGACTAATAAAGTTGTTATCATTACTGGAATCACATGATTAAATTTTTTGTAATCAGAATGTAATCATTTGGAATTTTAGTTATTTGCTGTCGAAATTTCTACTGACCACTAGAAATCAGCAGCAATCGCTACTTTTTTCAATGGTACTGACTCTTTACTCATTAATTTTTCAATGGGTACTTGAAATATTATGTAACTTCATTAGTTTAGTATCTGTGATGAAATTTAAATATTTAATTACTTTAGCAATCGTAATTGATAATAACATTTCTTTTAATTACTTAATTAATAAGTAAAGGTTTTGTTGTGATAAGGTAAATTAGATGATGAATCGGAATAAAGGAAATAAATGGAAGATAATTACTAATAAATCGAAAACTCCGAAATAAAATGAAAATCACACGCAATAAAAAATAATAAACCGAAAATTAAATCCTTAGTATTTTTATTTTATGGCTCCAGTTCTCAGAAATCTCGTTCCACGTGCGCGCCTAGTGGGGGTAGCGAAATACAGTCGCATTCTCCGAATTCGCTTCCCCAATCCCCCCATGAGTGCGACTATACTGGGAGTCTACTGTATTTAAAGATCACTTCGGTTAGTTGAATCCATGAAATGCATGTTGTTTTCTATTTTATTGAATAAATCGATATTTTATCTAATGAATGAAGAAAAAAAATTTGATTCTCGATGAAAGCTTCACCTTGATGGTTTTATCCCTACATTCACCCTCCTTTGTAACTCTCATGCTTGAGCGTTCTCGCGTGAATATGACACATTTCTTTCCCTCCGGGTTCTATCCCCATTCCCTCCTACTGTATTCCCCCTCTCCACCATTAAATAGATGAAATCGAAAATTTGAAATCACTTAAAATCGTAAAATTGCGAAAGAACTAAAAAAAATCGCAGGTAATCCCATGAAATCAATGATTGCATGAAATCATGGAAATCTTCCTGAAATCACGTGAAATCAGTAATCACTGTGTCACCGGATTTCCAAATGAATGGCCCTTTCAGTAATTACAATAACTTACGAATTTTCGAATGTGAATGAAACCTCAAACGACGAGTGACCAATGCTAAACTCATTCTTCATTTCTTTACTTCGTATGACGGGTTGATGATCTTTTTGCTAGAGATTATATTTTTTTTTTTTAGTTTTTTTTTCAATAATGAACGATAAGGTTTGATATGTAGTACGGGCGGTAGAAGAGGAAAAGATAATAGTGGAAATGGAGGTAAAGATAACGCTAAAATAAATACCCTTGTGATTGCTGTACTATAAAATCGCCGAATTCCAACAACAAATAAATTCGAATACTAGTGAAAATGTGGGAAACCGTTACAGGCATTCTATATAAATTGTACATTCAAGTATTTCATTGTTTTCATCCCATTGCAGTAAATTATATTGTGTGAGATTAATGAATAATTGATTCCATTTGAATAAGTTCGTTTCTCCATCCGACAAATCGATTTATCCGTGAATTTGAAATCCGAGACGCTTTACACTTGTGAAAAATCCTCTTTCGCGAAGTTTGCTTACAAGAGAGGAGTGATTGTTGCTAATTATTAATGACTTCCGTAGCAGTCAGAAGATATAGAACACAATAAATTTGCCAATTAAAATACTTACAAGATGATACTTTTTTGATGCTTTTTTTTAATTTTATTTGCTTCCGAATAGAAGCTGTGTAGGGTAAACATCTCAACTTCTGGACGGGGGTTAGTTTCTGGACGATTCCAACTTGCATTGAATATTCCACAAATAAAATGAAAATTGTATTAATTATTTCACCTCTGCGTAATATCCCTTGTGTATAATCATGTGATCAATTATTTTCTTCTATTGATCAACATTTAATAAATAAAAAAAAATATGACCCAGTCGTCCAGAAATTGGGGGTTTCGGCTACATTGAACTATTTTTCAATTTAATTATTCTTTGTTTTGTTATTTTCACTTTAAACAATTTTTTTTTGCTAATTAAAACATTCTTGAAGATATGGAAGCCATCATATCCCCATTTAGGTGATTCTTTTATTTTAGATCCTACCACGAAACTCGAATTTCCTTGAACCGTCCAGCAATTGGCCTGGTCACCCTATATGTTGGATTTTGACATTTTCTAATTTTGCACAGAAGTGATGAATATCATGAAACGTAAAGATATGATGTTTTTACAACATGTCTGTACGTATATGTGTATAACAATTTCGGTTTTGAGTGATTTATTTTTATGAAAATATGACATCCCTCGCATAGGCAATGCATTCCGGTTGTACAGAGCTTATTGGAGATTAGTGTTTATCTCAAGAAGGGGGGTATTATTGTTTGGTAGGGGAGGCCAGGGCAAAATGGACAGCGGGGCAAAACAAGACTCCTCTAAAATTTGAGTTTTTACACAAATGATTGATTTTTTTACTTTCATTAATGAAATATCGAATTTTGGGGAGTTATAACTCTTCGTTACTCGCGTGAACCTGCCCGGTATGGATACTCGCATCGCGGTGCCGCGACGTAATGTAAATCTGACCGCGGCGTTGTCACAATTCATTCGAAGAGTAGACTCGCGCGGTGGTCTTTTCACTCTTCTGAGCTCTCGGCAGCGCCAAGTGTGGCAACGCCGTGTGAAATTTTTCCATGATACGATCAGTCGCGTCGCAGTATGGCGCCGTATTTTCTATGTAGAAAAATACATAGAAATAAAAAAGGAAGCCAAGTCAGGAATTTTGAATAAATGGTGATAGTGCATAATCAGGTTTCTATAAGAAAAACAGTTGTCAATGAAATAAATATTCTAAAAAAATTCTCCATGAAATAAAAAATGAAGTAGGAGCAGAACCATCTTCCTTGGCGTGGGTCAAAGGATGGAGGATTAGATTGATACAGACAGTGAGTTGAAAAACGNGGTCTTGGGGGCAAATAAACAATAAATAATCGTTTTTTTTCCCACTTATTTTTCGTCTTTCAACATATATAATTAATCAATCATCAATGTNGAATAAATGGTGATAGTGCATAATCAGGTTTCTATAAGAAAAACAGTTGTCAATGAAATAAATATTCTAAAAAAATTCTCCATGAAATAAAAAATGAAGTAGGAGCAGAACCATCTTCCTTGGCGTGGGTCAAAGGATGGAGGATTAGATTGATACAGACAGTGAGTTGAAAAACGCCGCGCTAAGAACGTTGGTCCTGCTCCTACTGATTTTTTATTTCATGGAGAATTTTTTTAAAATACTTATTCCGTTGAGAACTATTTTTGNCAACTTTTCACAAGAAAACTTCTCCCAAGTAGAATTCAGTACTGGTGAGTAGTAACTTTTTTTTAGAGTGTATGTGGATTGTATTTCTTGGAGAGATGAATTGATTTCTTATAGGAATAGTCGAACAAAATGTTCACAAAGAATTCTTCTTGAAAAGATCTGTTTTTGTTTTTTTTGTTTTTAACAATATCAGGGAAACATTGGGTGAAATGGANTGACCCACGCCAAGGAAGATGGTTCTGCTCCTACTTCATTTTTTATTTCATGGAGAATTTTTTTAGAATATTTATTTCATTGACAACTGTTTTTCTTATAGAAACCTGATTATGCACTATCACCATTTATTCAAAATTCCTGACTTGGCTTCCTTTTTTATTTCTATGTATTTTTCAAAAACTTCGACTTCCCAGTAGGAATCGAACAAAACTTTTTCGTGGCCCAGTTTTTTTACAAAAACATGTGTTTGTGTANGTCTAAGCTTATTACAAAGAGGCTGACTGTACTTTAATTTAAAAAAAAATTCTATTCCATCAATACTTCAATTTGACATCATCATTTTGAAAAGGGTTCAAAGTATCCATTTAATCGATCCCATCGTCTCCTACTAATTTTCCCTAAATAATCACAAAATTATTCGCATTTCACTGTCACTTAATTTAGAGAATTTTTTTCCACGGAATGAAAACATTTTCAGTTACACTCGGAGAAAAATAAATATTTTCTTTTCACATTTAACTATTCACGGATATCTAATACTTGATCACACAATATTTTCGACACATCTTACTTTTGTCACATTTCCAAACATAAACCGATAACCTCACAAACATTGCATAAACTACCTNTTTTTACATCCGGTGAAATTTGTTCTTTTCAATTCAATTTAATTCATTCATTTGTCATATGATAGAACATTTTTTCAATCAACAATTGAAGGGAAATAAACAGTTCTACTCCAGATTTATTGTCTCCACCGAATTTCAATTTTGCATCATCTATTAATAATTTTCTGACTTGATTTGGTCCCTCATTCAATTTTTGCTCTGATGATTCCTACACTCTAAAAAAAGATTACTTCTGATAAGTAGGAAAACTACTTGTATTCAGTACCGAGGCGTTTCTGGAGAAAAGCTA